GTTCTCTCCGACAGCTGAGCCTCGGCCCATCCGCGGCGGAGCGGGCGGTGACCTTGAGACGCTGCGTCTACGTGACCGGGCTTCCATGCGCGCTGGCGGTCATGTGCACGGTGGGGCACGGGGCACCTCGGGCTGCACTGCCTCTGGGACCGTGACGCTCGGACGCGCCGCACCCGCGCCCTGCGCCTCCCCACGCGCCGGCGCCAGGGATGTGTCTTGGGTGATGCCCGGCCCATGCCGGTGGTGTTTGGGAGTCTGGACGCGCCCGGGAGAGAGAAGGAAGGAGAGAGAGAGCGAGAAAGATTCTGCCACGCATCGCGCCTTGTTCACATTCGGGACACGCTCGTTCTCGGCAGCCGGCTTTATCCATGTCAGTTAGTTAGCGTGCCGGGGTTGGGATGCCTGTTGTCCGGTGCGGAAACATTGCCTAAAGAAGGCAGTGTTTTTGTAAAGCGCAGGGAGTAGTTCTGCTGCTCGGCGCCCGTGCTCATCATGACCTCTGCAATGATCCGCGTCTGTTAACTCCACAAGGCTGCTGATTGCACCGACTGTGGTTTGCTTCTGAATTTCCTCGGTTGGCGACCGCATGACTCAGCGGTGAGCGCTGTAGCTTTGTGCAGCCCTGCTGCGTACCTGGGAGTAAAAATGCGTGCTCTGGCTGCGAGCTGGCGCTACAGGCTCACGTGTCTGACTGGTATGCAACATGCGTATTAAGTTGCATGTTGTTGCATCCAGATATCGGGCGAACCTTTCGTGCATGAGGGTGGGGGCTGGGGCCCTCCCAGTGTTTCCAATGTGGAAAGCCTTTATGATGCCTGATATGGCGAGAACGGACCTAGATCTTAATGCGCCCCCAATGGTTTGGGCTAGGGCAATGGTTTGGGCAAGCGCAATGGTTTGGGCTAGGGCAATGGTTTGGGCTAGACTCGGGCGCCGGTTGGGATTCGTGTTTTGACGATGCGTGATGTGACGCATCGGTCGCACTAACCATTCAGGAGGCTGGAGTTGCGGCGGTCAGCATCGTTATCGTCCCGTCCGCAGCCGTGTGTGGAACACAAATGCAGAGCACGTGACGTTGTGCGTTCCGCCCCTCCGCCGCTCTGCCCCTCCGCCGCTCTGCTCCCCCGCCGCTCTGCCCCTCCACCGCTCTGCTCCTCCACTGCTCCTCCGCCACTCTGCCCCTCCGCCGCTCTGCTCCTCCGCCGCTCTGCCCTTCCGCTGCTCCCCCGCCGCTCTGCCCCTCCGCCACTCTGCTCCTCCGCCCCTCTGCCCCTCCGCCGCTCTGCCCTTCCGCTGCTCCCCTGCCCCTCTGCCCCTCCGCCGCTCTGCCCCGAGGGGCGCGGAAGCGCAGCGCCGTGATAGTAGCGGCGTTTCCTGGCCGTGCTGCTGGCCCGCCTCGGCATTTACGGGTCAGCCGCGCCGCCCGCTGACCGCGTGGTCACGTTCGGCGCTTATGCCCGCCGGACGGCGCCCGGGGCCCCGACCCGTGTCGAGAGCCTGCGGCCAGGCGTCCTGCCAGGAGCGGCTGTGTGTGTGGGAGGGGGAGGGGGGGGGGGGGCGCGGGGGGAACGGGGCGGGTAATGTCCCTTCAAGCGCCACGCCGAGGACGCTGCATGAAAAGAGCGAACGTGAAACATGTTCCACCTCCCCAATGATCGGTCACGCTGCACGCCCTTGGGTCGGCGCGTGCTAGCTTCACGGCCTGCTGCCACGCTGCAGCCATGAATTTGGACGGAGGCAGGCGGTCGGGCGATGCCGGCGCGCGAGGCGTCACTGCTAGGGGGTTGAGACTCCAGGCGCTGGTCGGGGTGGCATGGCTGGCTTCACATCTGTTGTGTCCCTTGCTGTAAGTTGATCAAAACGTTGCACGTGTGTGAAGACGCCTGAACATTTGCTTAACCTAGCTTAACTCAACCTAACCTTAACTTGTTCAGTAACCCCTCTTGGCTCCGGCGGCTGGGCGTCCGCCGACTGTTCTCGTCGACCCCCCCCCCCCCCCGATCCCCCCTTCCCCCGGTCGCGGGATGCAGTTCCTGTTCGCTGAAATCACCCTCCAATCAGCGTACGTCGCCAGGATTCGGAATGTAAATTGAAGCGAAATCTGAGAAGTGACGTATGGCCGGCTTCCAGCCGCCTCCGCCTAGCGACACGCAAAGTTCAGGCTGACGTGGGCATGACTTGCATGAGCTGGGCACCGCCGTACCACTCCGGTTTGCCGGGGCGATGTCTCCGGATGGATCGATTTATCCAGGTCGCGTTGCCCCCCCCCCCCCCCCCCGCATTCTCCGGCTCCCCGGTCCAAAGCGCTGCTTTGTGATGTGCGTCAGCTTGTTACGCTCGCCGCTGGTGAGTGATGCAGGGGCGTCTTCAAGAGTCGTCAAAGGCATGTGTCCCCATACGCAGACAATTTGTACATGCCTGAAAAAGCTTGTAAATAAATATCGACAAGTAAGAGATCGAGAGAGGCATGCAAAAACAAGTGGATTGAAAATACGCAATGGTAATTTACGAAAAAGTGCAATCTAGGAGATGTCGTACATGTGTCGTGAGCCAAAAGGAAGTTTTCCGCGAATGTTCTTGATTTGATCACCACTATAACGAGGGATGGGATGCACTCTACCCAACAAATGAGGTGCAGCACAGTGCCCCTGTGCAGTACGCTGACGTAAGGTTCGTTACAATGCAGCGTGAATCGCGGTGGCCTTGCGACCGGCAGCAGGGGCACGACTCTGCACTAAGCTGTCTTCAATCTCGGCTCCCCAAACGGAGCCATGCATTATAGATCGGGCAGCGGGCTGGGGGGGGGGGGGGGGGCGCTCGCGGCGCCGCGGCTGGTCTGCCGTCGGGGCGGCAGGCGGCTGGCGGCGACCTGAACCCGGCTGGCCTGCTGTCGTAGTGGCGGGGTGGCAGGTGCAGGTGTCCGGATGGGCAGGCGGCTGGCAGCGGCCTGGGCCTTGCTGGTCGTCGCCGTCGGACGTCGCCTGCGGTCTCTCCTGACTCCTGGGGCCTCGGCGCTCTCAGGTGGTATCTCCAGGGGACTGAGGCTGTGAGCCTGCGGGGCGGCCAGTTGGTGGGCCGCCTGGCCCCGTCGAGCCCGTCCCTCGCCTGCGGTCTCTCCTGACTCCTGGGGCCTCGGCGCTCTCAGGTGGTATCTCCAGGAGACTGAGGCTGTGAGCCTGCGGGGCGGCCAGTTGGTGGGCCGCCTGGCCCCGTCGAGCCCGTCCCGCTCCGGTATTCCCCTGCGATGCTTACGTGGGATGTGTCGAGAGGATGCGACGGGCCTGGACCGGGCGGAATGATGCTGCATTGGTGTGATCCGCGGCTTTTCGCAGCCCTATTTAATGAAGGCGTCCCAAGGTGAGAATCGTGCACTGAAGCTGGGAACGCCGTACGTAAGCGTTGGTTTGCGATGGCGATGATTCAGAGTTTCCACTGAAGTTGCGTCACTCGTTAGTTGCTTTGCAATGCTTTTGCCGGTGAGATTTCAGAAGAGTTGCCCCTCGTTGACGGTTGGCGAAGGTGGATGGAAGCAAGGCTGAAATGACCACTTCTGGAATGCGCTCAGCTTACATAATATATATATATATATATATATATATATATATATATATATATATATATATATATATATATATATATATAAAGCCAGACTGTACGCATACATTGTGGTATACCCTTGCAGGCACGCAAATACAGATGCACCTGCAACGCGTATATGGTTATCGGGGTAGACGCCTCACGCATTCATTGAGCAACACATTTGCATTGATGTTATCAACCATGATTATGCCGCCTGGAAGAAGGAAAACCTGTCGGAAATATCAGTTAATGGCAATGATGTCAGGCTATGACGTCATGAGACTTCCTAGCACACACACGCCTACGGTATGTGTTTACGCCATTGTTTTGGCGCAGGTATGCGTTCCACGCATGCGATTTTCTGCTTTACGTTCCTGCTTTGCATCCATCCTCATCCGCAAATTGCTGATGCGCTAGTGGCAGCAACTGAGGTCTTCTGCAGCACCGAACACAGGAGAGCGTTGCGGAGCCCAGCCACGAGCGAAGCTGCACGAAGGGGCCGCTTGTATCGCTTCCTGAATAGTGTCTCTTCCTCATCCGCCGGTGAGCGCGGCACGTGGTGATCTTTCCACGCATCAGTCGCTGTGTATGTGATATAATCCTCCTTTGAGCCGGTATATTCCGTGTGCCATGCTGGCGATGATGTCAGGCTCGTCGGCGATTCTGATGTATCGATTCTGATGTTGCGCGATAAACTGCCGCCGGGGAAGAAACCGCGTTCTGGCGCGCCATAAGCGACGCGCCAGATTTTGCTGGCGCACGAGGAGTGATGCAACGGCTTTTGCCAGTCGGGTGAAGCCAAACAGCGGCGCTGTTTGTTGCACCACAGCGGAGTTAATACCCTGGACGCAATGTATTCAGAGTGCGTTATTCGCTACTGATGCCCAGTGCAGTGTTCAGAAGTTTGTGGTGTCATGTCTATAGCCATAGGCATATGACTGCGCAGGAGGGGAGTCTGGACAGGCGAGGATGCGCTTCTGATGATAAAGCTTTTCAGAAGCCGGTCTCGTGCGTTAACTCTCACTCAGACTTGTGCTGGGTGATGCAAGGATGCTGTGCTGCTCTCTCCTCCTTCCCCTACGTGGCATTTAACCATTTGCTGGTGGGGCGGGGAGAGGATGAGGGCAACCTAGGTTTTAGAAGATGATGCTTCCCGTGAATTTTAAGGTGAGGAGTGTACCCCACTAGTGCTGGAAAACGTTGCTTATTGACGTGGTCTGGCCCTTCCCATTCTGTACCGGTCGGGTCCCAAGAGGTTGAATACAAAACGCGACGAACGGAAACAGGAGCGTAGTCAGCGGAACCAGCGTTGCACCCAAAATACCCCCGCTCTCATCCTGGCGATTTTTAGGATCCGACTGCACGCCGACGCCGCTCCGCCGTGACCCCAGCGCGCTAACGCTCGTCCTTCTCGCCGGCAGCACTCCATAGTGGGGAGCCCGGCTGGCGGAAAGGGCCCGCCCGTGTCCCTGCCGACGTCGCCGCAGGCGGCCGACGCGCTGGAGCCGCCCTCGGCGCGCTACCGCGCCCGCTCCGGCTCCGAGTCCTCCAAGTCTGCCGTGCGCAGCGTCATCGACAGGATCCGCGGCCGCTCGCAGTCTGTCGTCGAATCCGACAAACGCAAGTTCGCGGTGAGTACGCGGGGTGGCGCTGCCGTCGGCCGCCGGGCGGAAGGCGCTGCTTCGGCGTTTTGCGTGCGGCGCGCTGCTGTCGTGTTCCAGAGGTTGGCTGACGGTGGTCGTGGGAGGCGCCGAGCTGCTGCAGTCAGGCTGGGCGATGCCACGGCTGGGGAACGCTCAGTGGAAGCCAGACACGGACACAAGGCACACGTCGCCTGCAAACGGCGACCTCCGAGCACAGTAGATGCCGGCGGCGTGGCGACCTTCTGTTAGACAAAATGATATTGCATGATCCGGATAGCTGGATGCGCTGGACGTTTGGATCGGGAGGGAACTAATGTGACTGGAATATTTACCAGCTGGTGGAATCTTGTCTGTTGCGAGGTCAATATCTGCGCTGATAAGTACAATCAACATTTCATGCGCTCATGAAGTTAAGTGGCAACTTTAATTTATTTAAAATTTTTGTGGATGAAGTTTCTGTCAAAATGAAGCTCATTTAATCATCGTTTAATGATCGCCTAAATGTTCCATTCCAACGACCCCTGCAACCAACACTCCAGCGAACAGGGGTACAATCTCTTAACCCCCTTTGAACCCTTAAAGCATGGCCAACGCTGACGGTTAATGTTTTGTTTTTGTTTTTGTTTGAGTGGTGGATGTTTGTCACATAGTATTCATAACGTACTAAATAAAGATGCCTTTGTGAGGTCATTTCTGCTTGAAGAGCAGCCATATTCGGTGCCTGTTAGTTTTTCCACGTGTGGATGCCGCGTTTAACATGGCAAGGCCTATGCACCCCTTATTCGTTGCGTGCACTGGCCAGAATGATTCCAATCGTTCACACATACTGTCGTGTAGCATTGCTTTTTCCGTAAATTTAGGTCAGGATATATCCAGGCGCAGGTGGTTTGTAATCTGCTATTGAACTGTGCTGTCGAATACGACGCTGCGATAAAACTAAATGCTGCAGTCGTGGGGATAAAAACTGGTATTTCGGGTGAGGGCAACACCGATATTTCTTCTGCGGTGCAGTGTGCGTGCATTTCGACGGCTATCAGTGTATTCTGTATGGAAAAGGTGGCGCTAGTGTGCGCAGTGTGCAACATTCGCAGCCCGTCCCGTGTCGAGAGCGACTGGCCCGCACAGAAGCTCAGAGTCCCGTGTGCCCGTCAGCCGGGGTCTCCTTCAGCGCCCTCTGGGCGGACCGGATCCAGAGCTGGCGATCCAGATCCAGATCCAGAGCTCTGTCCTGACGCGGCCCGGGAGGCGGGGGCTCTCGGCGACGGACCGACACTCCCGTCCTCAGCAGCTCAGTCGCTCGGCGGCACTGCATCCACACCGTTCCCGTCGCCAGTGGGTCGCTCGGTATCGGGGTCACACTGTCGATGGTGACATTCGGCCAGGAGAGGGCGGTCAACTTTTGACAACTGAAAGCTGCGCAGAGCGGTTAGTGGGCTGCCTCCCGGCTGCACGGGCTGGCGTAATCCCTGATCAGTGGCAAACTTCCCGGGGAAGGCTATCAGCTCATCATGGGCAGTCTTCTCTGTCGGGACGATTTCCCGGCGACGGCTGCTAGCTGCTAGCCTTCCCTTCCTTCCCTAGCTGCTAGGCTTTCCTTCCTTTTCTAGCTACTAGCCTTTCCTTCCTTCCCTAGCTGCTAGCCTTCCCTTCCTTCCCTAGCTGCTAGCCTTTCCTTCCTTTTCTAGCTGCTAGCCTTTCCTTCCTTTTCTAGCCGCTAGCCTTTCCTGAGACGTTTCTCGCCATCCGAAGTGTCCTGCGCCGATTGTTCGCACCGGCCGCATGTCGCCTCATTAATTTGAATGGTGCTCCGATCGTGTTGCTGGCCCGCCTCGGCGGCGGCGTGTGGCTCGGGTCGGCCGCGCGCTGTTCGACATCCAATCGTCGGCGCTCGGCCGTCGGGAGCCGGAAGGAGCGGTTCCGAGCCGGAAGGGCGCGGCACCTCCCTTGTGCGCCTCCGGCCGGGTGAACTCTGACATCGTCCTCCTCCGTGTAGCGTCTGTCGACGCGCGACCCCGGCCTGGCGACCGCGTCCGATAGCCGGCCGGTGGACGATGGTAGCCGACTGGAGCGGCGTCGAGCACGGCTCGCCTCGCCAGTGACGGGTCGGCGCCGAGCACGGCTCGCCTCACCGGTGGCAGGTCGGCGCCGAGCACGGCTCGCTTCGCCGGTGACGGGTCGGCGCCGAGCACGGCGCGCCTCGCCGGTGACAGGGCGGCGCCAAGCACGGCTCGCCTCGCCTGTGACGGGTCGGCCGGTTCGGCGCCGAGCATGGCTCGCCTCACCGGTGACGGGTCGGCGCCGAGCACGGCTCGCTTCGCCGGTGACAGGTCGGCGCCGAGCACGGCTCGTCTCGCCGGTGACGGGTCGGCGCCGGGCACGGCTCGCTCCGCCGGTGACAGGTCGGCGCCGAGCACGGCTCGTCTCGCCGGTGACGGGTCGGCGCCGAGCACGGCTCGCTTCGCCGGTGACAGGTCGGCGCCGAGCACGGCTCGTCTCGCCGGTGACGGGTCGGCGCCGGGCACGGCTCGCTCCGCCGGTGACAGGTCGGCGCCGAGCACGGCTCGTCTCGCCGGTGACGGGTCGGCGGCGAGCACGGCTCGCTTCGCCGGTGACAGGTCGGCGCCGAGCACGGTTCGCCTCACCGGTGACCGGTCGGCGCCGTGCCGGGTTGTGCGACGCTCCCGCCGCCGGCCGAACCGCGACGCCCGAACGCCGACCTACACTCGACGGCGAGGGCACCACTGGCTGGTGGGCACGTGACGCGCGGCGTACTCGGTGCGCCCGACAGCCGTACGCTCTGTCCGTAGCAGACAACGGCGTCTCTCACCGACCGGCTTATCTTTATAGTGCCCCCGGTGTTGAACAACGGCTCGGTGTGAAGGCAGCAGCAGATACTGCAATCGTAGCACTCGAGACTGATCGCGTGAGAGTAGAACGCTGTGATTGGGGGGGAGGGGGGGGGGGGGAGGGGGCGAAGGGGAGGGAAGACGGGCAGGCATCAGGGTCGAATTTTGCATTTTGTCGTAATGGTGGTGCAAAAGTCATATCATGCACATGCTATTTTAGTTCGAAAAACCGCCGCGGAACAGGGAACTGGAAGCGTTGTATTTAGTATATGGGGCGCGGCTTGTGTCGGGTACAATTTTTGCCAGAACAAGCATTTGAAGGTTTGGGATTGCATCATCTCGATGCGCGTTCCGCTCCTGGTCCCAAATGATCGCCTCGTCGGCGATGGGGGTAGCAATTCGTTCCTGATCTTCAACTGCGAGATCAACGCTCACACGGCTGCTGGTCGTGCTGAGGGGGTCGCCCCGAGCGGGTCGCGCCGAGTAGATCGCGTTCGTGCAGCAGCCGGTCACGTGACCTGGGGGCGCCGGCTTGCGAGCGCCGAGCGCCGCCGCGGCGGGGTAGCCGTGCCCGCTTCCGTCCGCGCCTCGGGAGCGTGAATGGTGCGCCATTACGGCCGGTCACGGACTGCGCGTGACCCGCCGGCGGCCCTTCGTCGGCTGTCGGACGGCCGCCGCCGCCGCCCGCTGCCGGCGGTACAGGTCCGGTCCGGCCGGCCGCAGGGGGCGGCTGCCCCCCCCCCCCCCCCCCCACGCCCGGGACGTAATCCCAGCGACGGCGCGGCACGTAATCGAGGCATGAGCTGTCTGTCGCTCCGATGTCCGTGCTCGGGTGGCTGCCGCAGGGGGTAATCCCGCGGTGCTGTCTTTTGTTGCGGCTTGCCAGTGCCAGCGCGAAGGATTGCTGAGGAGGTGAAGAGATTGAGCTGAAGGTAACGCACGCCGTGCTGTACCATGGTATAGGAAACTGGCAGTCTGCTTGGCAGCTGTGGTCGTCACTTACCAAAAAATGAGTGGCGCCCAGCAGTGATATGGGATTTTTTATGAACATTTCTGTTTGTAATGTTGCCATAGGCCTACGTTAAAACAAAATAAAAATGTGTGAAAAGATCTGCCCTCACCCCCACCGCACCCCTTAAAGCGCTCGGCATACGCGTTAGGAGCGCACGAACTGCAGTGCATTCAGCACCGGCTGGTTTTGTGTAAACCGGCATCTATCCACACACGGTATGCACGGTGGCCATCATTTCATCCCCCACCGATTCCGCGCATGGCATCTTAAAGCCATCCCGCCACACCTCTCAGCGAGCGTCATCCCTGTCGTCATCTGCGGCAGCGATGGCTGGGGCTGGTCGCGCCGGAAGAGCGCCGTGCCTTTCCTCTGCAGCGGCGGGGGCGGCGGAGGTACCGCGCGGCCGCCGCGCCCGCCGCCGGGGCCTGCGTCGCACGGCCGTCTCCGATGCCGGCCGCTGATTGGTCAGCGCGCCGGAAAACCCACCGCTGCTAGACCTCGGGGCTCCTAAGGAGCCCCGCCAGAGCCCCGTCCGAGGCCTCTTCATCCTAACCGCAGAAAGAAGGCCGAGTTGCATGGACAGGTTTCGCTCTTAATTGTACTGCGCATCGTCATCGAACTGAAGTCAGCAAATTCTGCGCCGTGATGGCATCTCCCCCGGGGTCCTGCTTCCGCTTGTCGGGGCCCTCTGACGCCACCAGCCGTCCGACCGCGGCCTGGCGGCTGGTGGGCATCGGGCAGGCAGGCCGCTGGCCAGCCGGCCGGCCGTGGTCAGCGCCGGCCGTGGACGCCGGCCGTGCAGAATGTGCCAGTGTCAGCCCGCCGTCTGCGCCGCTCGCCGGCCATCCGTCTCGTATGCACGTGTCGGCCCGAGGGCCGTCCTCTCTCGCGTGGCAACAAGCTTTGCTTCTGACTGCGCTGTGGCGGTGCTGTCTCCGTCGGCGTTCGTCACTGTCTTGCTCTTGTGGACCTGATCGATGTGCCTAGCTGCAGGGAGTTCTGATCTTCAGGTGGGAAATTTGCCTTGCCCGCGTTAGTCGGCGCTAGGACTGTAAAGGCGAGCGCGGGTGGAGAATGGGGGTGACGGAGAGGATGTAGCACGTTTGGGATGCGGCCTAGCCCTTCCCAAA